TAACTTTAGAATTCCATCTTAACATCTACCTGTTTGGCAAAGATGACAAAAGATGAAAATGACAAATATAGTAGGAGGGAAAATTAGGAGGAGAAAATATAATCATTTATTAGTTGAAAATTAAAAAAAGAAGTCAAGGCAAGTCAACAAGTACCTACTATATTCCAGGCACTCTGCTAAATGTTAGTGGATACAAAGAAAGGCTGAAACAAAATAAAACAACCCCAAAAAAGCAATTCCTGCTCTTAAGGAGCTCAAAAGGCAGGGAATGCCTTTGATTTTGTATTTCTAGTTTTTAGTAACGTACTTGGCACATAGTTAACTTAGTGAATACTTCCCCCCCTCATTTTTGGTTCTTTTTATAAAATATATGTAGTTTAAAAAATGAAATACACTTTTCTTGCTTGGCATTGATCATTTTAATAAAGGCAGAATTTAACTTAGTCAAATTATACATGTTGCTAAAAGGCATTTGAACTCTAATAATATATTTTATAACTTATTCTTATGACATAGATCAGTGTCAGTCCTTTAAAAACTGATGCCGTTTGTACAGAACTCCTTTTCTTCTAGTCTTCCTCCCCTTCTCACTTCTTACTCAGATATCTTGCTTCACTATATCCTTCTCCCTTGTGTCTCATGTAGAGCTGGCCCTTCTCCTTGCCAAGGCAAAGCCATCCAAATGAAACTTTGATCCCACACCCTTTTATATTCTGTAGCATATTGTTTCTATTATCATCCTTACTCTTTTCCTAATCTCTTTTCATTTCATTAGATTGTAAGCTCCTTGAAGACAAGGATTATCTTTTGCCTCTTTATTTTTTTAATTCCCAGTGCTTAGCACAGTGCCTGGCACATGGTGGGTGCTTGATAAATGTTGATTAATTAAATCTTCAATCTTTTCCTATTTATTTAACCCTTTCTGCTGCTTATAAACATATCTATGTCTCCCCTTCCTTAAAAACCTATGGCTTGATCCAACCATCTCTGTTAACTAATTGTTGTCCAACATCTCTCCTCCTCTTCTTGGATAAACTCCTTGACAGAGCCATCTACTAGATGTCTTCATTTCCTATCCCTTATGAAATCTGATTTTAGGTGTCATCATTTAAGTGAAACTGCTCTCTACAAAGTTACCAATGATTTTTCAGTTGCCAAATATAACTCCATCCTCATCCTTGATTTCTCTGCAGGCTTTGACATTGTTGGTCAGCATCTCTTAAATGCTCTTTCTTCTCTTGGTTTTCATGAAAATACCATCTTGGTTCTCCTACTACCTGTTATGTATATCATACCCATTAGTCTTTTCACTCTACAAGATTCTGTACGGTACTCTTCTCACTCAGTGTGATCGCATTTGGTGATCTCATCAGCTACCCTAGATTCAACTATCATTTCTGGGCAAATGATTCCAAGAATGCTGTATCTATATCTTGTCTCTATTCTGAGCCTTAGTGTGGCGTTTACAAATTTTTTTGGCCGTCTCAAACTAAAAGTGCCATAGGTCTTTCCAACTCAACATCTCCAAAACAGAGTTCATATTTCCCCCTAAATTTCCTGTCCTTTTCACCCTATTACTGTTACTGTTGAGGGTGCCACCATTCTCATATTTACACAAGCTTACAGTAACCTCAGTGTTATTCTTGACTTTTCACTTGTACTCATCCCATATATCCAATCAGTTGCTAAATCTTTATACTTTCACAACATTTCTCTTATGTATCTCTTTTCTATTCACATAGACATCACCTTACTACAGGCCCTCATTACCCTTTTTTTTGATTGTTGCAATAGCCTCTTAATTGGTTTCACTGTCTCAAGCTTCTCTTTATTCTAATCAGTCTTTCCATTGGGTACTAAATTGCTTTTCCTAATAAATATCTGACAATGTTGCATTCCCCACCCCCAGCAAACTCTAACAGCTCTCTGTTACCCCTAGGGCCAAATACAAAGTCTTCTTATTGGTTTTTAAAGCCCTTGACAACATGGCTTTTTCTTCCCTTTCCAGGTGTATTAATTTTTTTCCACATCTGTGGCGTTGGAAAAGGCTCAAGAGACTTAATTTCTGGGTAATTTAATAATTTTATTAATAATGCCAGCACCTTAATAGAGGATGGTCATTTGGCTCTCTCTGTCTTAGACCAAAGACAGTCATGGCAGTGAGCACATAGTTTTCTGTCTTTTTGGAAGACAAGTGTTCAAAAGGATGTCAGTCAACTCTGATTGGCTAACAATTAATGAGAAGTTGACTTTACTAAGAGAAGTGGGATTACTCCAATGAGTGGCAGAGAGTGACATCATGTCACCCTTGGATGGAGAGACTATCTCTAAGCAGACCACCCCAGCCTTGGGCAATTTAGATAAAAGGGTCTGTCTGTCCCTGCACATCCCCCCCCCCCAGCTTGATTGAATGGAATTCACCTTAGACTAGAGATTCCTTGTAAGATTGGGTGGGGTCAGATAGGGGAGAAGGTTAGCTCAACCTTCAGACACTGAGGTCTTGAAATAAGGATAGAGAAAAGGGGGGACTCTGAATCTTTCCCAAATCATTAGTTATTAATAATCATTTCTCTCACATCCGTTTACTCTACAATGTGGCTGCATTGTTCTTGCTTCTCCTTGCACACAACAGTCCACCATCTCCTGAATCCATGTATTTGCTTTGCTTGTCCCATGCTTGGAACATGTTTCCTTCCTCTTCCCAGACTCCTAGCTTCCTTCAAGACTCAGCTCAAACCAGTTATTGTCTTCCTCCCTTCCTCAGTATGTTTTTTTTTCTGTTACTACCTTCCATTTACATTCTATATATCTGGTGGATACGTAGTTATTTGTATATTGTCCCCACCATTATAATGTGAGCTCTTGAGAGCAAGGACTTGATTTTTGCTTTTCTTTCTATCCCAAGTGCTTAGCTCAGTGCCTGACATATGGTAAATATTTAACAAATACCTGTTGACTGACATTCATACAGCAATGAAAATACTGTTTTCTTATGGCCCTTTCAGGCAAGGTTGATAATAAAAAATCATGATAACCAACATTTATATATTGCTTACTGTGTGCCAGGCACTGTGTTAAGTGCTTTATAACTATCTCAGTAGATTCTCTCAATCACTCTGTGAGGTAGGTGTTATTATCATCCTCATTTTAAAGTTGAGGAAACTGAGGTGAAGAGAGGTTAAGTGACTTACCTAGGATCACATAGCTAGTAAATGTCTAAGGCTGGATTTGAGCTTGAATCTTCTTGGCTCTAGGCTCAGCAATCTATCTACTGTACCATCTCATCAGTAGCCAGAATAAAGGAGATTTAATATATTGAATCATTTTTAGTTTTTTGGTTAATCTTTTTTGACAAAGGGCAAGGAAAATGATGAAGTTTATGATGAATTTAAAGAAGAAGGTCACTTCATCAGTCATGCAATTTTAGAGCTGGAGGGAATATACGTTACCATGGAACATACGCTAGAAGAGCTAGAAGTAGCGTAGCATAATAAAAGAAGAGCACTGCATTAGGAATGAATAGCTCATGACTGCAAATATAGATCCTTTCACTACCTTTGTGACTGTAGACAAGTCACATAACTTCCTTCAGCCTCATTTTCTTTATTTCTAGAATTGAGGGCGTGGATTGGATGATCTCTGTGGCCCCTTCCATCTGTAAAGTCTGAGGATTTTATGTAGAATGTTACAGTGAGAAGGGACCTTCAAATACTGTGTGTTCTAGTTGGAAAGGACCTTTAGATACAGAATATTACAATGCAGAACATAGAGCATTTAGAACTGGAAGAGACTTTAGACAGCAGCTAGCCTAGCTCTCTCATTTTGTAGACAAGTAAACTGAGGCTCCTTGAGGATTTGCCAAAGATCACATGGTTAAAAGAACAGATGGAAGTAGCTGATGGTACACATGGGAATATACCAGAATGGGTAGCAGTGAAAGTTTGGTTGAGAAATGATTGGTTGAGAGAAGTGTTTGCCAGTTAAATTAAAAAAACCAAACCAAACCCAACATATTGAAAAGAAGAAAACAAAAGTACATTGGGAATGCTTGAAGTTGAGGTCTTCTTTAAAGAGACAGAAGCTGAGACAATGCATCTATAAAAAGGCCTATTTTATAAATAGTAATCTTTATATCTTTAGGTAACAGTTGAATTAAAAAATAGGAAAAGTAGTCATTATCATTTAGCCAAAGGTTGATTGATTATGGATATACATTGTTTATAATAATTATTTCTTTTAAGTTTATAGCCTATTTTAATTTTTGATTAAGTGACGGGATTTTCAGTCAGATACATTTGGACTAGGTAGCTTCTGAAGTTCCTTCTCAGTTTGCTGTTCTGTTATTCTGTAACTTTGCATGTTTGTTAACAATCTCATCTTAAAAATACTTTGGAATTTATTTAGCTTTGAATTACAGTATTTGTACATATTCTTCTTCCACTAAAGTCTTATTTTGATACCTTGTCATGTTTGAGAGGTGACCTTTGAGCCTGAAAGACTATGCCCATGGAGCATTCTCTCACAGGGTCTATCAAGCAGGAAAATTTTAAGATATTGGCTGAATTTTGGTCTGGTGTATATGCTATCTAAGATCTTAGTATGTAAAAGCTTATTTCCAGAATTTTAGCCATTATGTCCTTAATTTTTTTCTGCCAGAACCATTTGTAAACTCTTTATCAAGGCATAGCTGGATTGATGAAATCATATATTTTTATAGTTTCCAAATACACTCTTTCTGTCAACTTACAAATGTCTGGTTGTAAGAACAATACTTAGTCATTGGGCTTTCCTGTATCTAAAAGCATTCCAAAACATTTATACAATATTTGTTAGACCTTATTATGTGTTGGAGAGAAATATTGCTTCATTCTTATTTTTTGTGTGGCAAATGGTAATGTGGAGTACTGAAGCAGTCATGCAGTGATTTTTCTTATTGATCAGAAGAATTCAGGAATGAAACCTTTCAGGATCCATTGAGATTTTTAAAATTCCCTTTTCAGGTTATCATACTACTGTTTTTGGGGTGTTTAGTGATTGTTTGCTGGACAGCCTGCCAGGAATAAAGACCAATGGCTCCACAGTAGAAGTCATTCCTGCTTTGCCGAGATTGCAGATAAGCACTTCATTACCCAGGTAAGCAGAGAAGAGAACTTAGATTTCCATTAAAAAAAAAAAGAATTCTTGCTTTGAAAACTTTAGTTTTTAAATGTTTTGTCTGCCTGTGACACAGAGGGCAAGTGTAATCTTATTCACTGATAAAATCTATAGTTTTCTTGATCAAAGAGAGGATGGAGGATTATTTTAGGATTGTTAAGAAGGACAAGGCTTTGGTTAATGCTGTTAGAAATGTTATTGGATGGATGTGTGGCCAATAAAGATCATAACAAAGCGTGCGCTGTGTTTCTAGAACTGTAGTCTTTGGGAAGAATGGGGCCTGACTTAAAACGAGTAAAGCAGAATTTGGAATTCTTACTTAGGAAATACATAAAGAAAATTTTCCCTTCTCTTTTTTGATTTTGAGCTTGTAAATCATCAGATGAGACAGGGTGGCATAGTAAATAGGGAACTAGTCCTGGAGTCAGCAAGGCCTGGTTTCAAGTTTTGCATCTGATACCTCTTTGCTGTGTGACTTTGGGCAAGTCATGCAGCCTCTAAGTGGTTATAAATTGCCCAAGTGGCCAATGGACATTGGAGTTTCCTTACTGTAAGTTCCTGAAACCTGTGAAATCGCAGGTTTGTACCAAAGAAAAATCATCAGAAGAGATAAAAGAATATAGTCAGAGTATTTCTGTCCTTTGTTCCTAGGGTATTTTATGTTAATTTCTAATACATTATGATGAAATAGGTGAAAATAAATACCAACAATTGTTACAAAGGTAGCAGCAGTATTACTGTGTTATATATATGGATGAACCTACAAGAGAGGCAAAAATCATAGAATATCTTAGCAAGAAGAAACTTCACAGAATATTTAGCATGACCACTCATCTTATTGGTAAGAAAATCAAGGCCAGATAATTTAAATAATTTGATGAAGTTCACCAAGTTAGTATGGGAGTTCTCTGATTCCTAGTGCTCTTTATGTCACCTTCAGTATCTTCATGTCGTTTAGCATAAGGTATTGATGTTATTGCGTGGCACTGTCCCATTCACCTCCCCCCATATCGCTTCCTCTTTCTCTACTCTGGCTGTCTCCCATACCCAGAACTTTCTCTTCCTTCTCATTTCCCCTCCTGGCTGTCTTCAAGTTTCAGCAAAAGTCTTACCTTTTGTAAGAAGCCTTTCCTAATCTTAGTGCCTTTCCTCAGAGACAACCCCCAATTAAACAAAATGTATATATTTTGTTTGTATATAATTGTTTGCATGTTTTCTCCCTCATTAGACTATGAGCTCTTAGGAGCAGCTAAATGATGCAGTGGTTAGTATGCTAATCTTGTAGTTAGGAAGATGTATGTTCAGATCTAGCCTTAATAGATACATGGCTCTGGGCAAGTCACTTAACTGCTGTCTGCCTCAGTTTTCTCATCTGTAAAATGGGGATAAAAATAACATCTACCTCTCAGAGTTTTTTGAGTATAAATGGCTAATATGTGTAAAGTGCTTAGCACAATGCCTAGCACAGAATAGACACTTAATAAATCCATTCATCTATCCTTCCTTCCTTCCTTCCTTCCTTCCTTCCTTCCTTCCTTCCTTCCTTCCTTCCTTCCTTCCTTCCCTCCCTCCTTTTGTTCCTTTCCTTCCTCTCTCCCTTAATTTCTTTGCTCCCTCCCTCCTCCCTCCCTTCTTCCCTGCTTTTTTTTTTGGGGGGGGGCTTTCTTTGTATCTCGAATGCTCAGCACAGTTTTTGGCGCATGGTGGGGACTCAGTTAAGTACTTGTTGACTACAATCTAATTACTATTCTCCCCTTCATAACTTCTCCCCAATCTCTTTTTTCTCTTTTCTCTTTCCCTAATTTTAAAACAAACTCACTTAATGTCAGACTTGTAAGGCACATCAGAGGTTGTTTAATAAAAATGGTAAGTGAATAAGAATTTCTTCTACAGCATCATTGAACAGTGGTGATCTACCTCATAGACCTTTTGTGAGAAATATTTTTTTTTGTCCTGAAGTAAGCCATTTTATTTTTGGATTGTTATGAAACTTTTCTTTGTGTCAAGCTGAAATTTACCTTTCTCCAGCTTCTATCCATTGCTTCTAATTATTCTCTTTAGATCTGTGAATCCTCTTTCCTGTGATTGTCTTGAATTTGAAGACAACACTCATGTCTCTGCTAAATCTTCTCTTCTCCACATGAATCATTCCCAGTTCCTTCAACTGATTCCTATATGACTCCTTCAACCTACTGATTTTATTCTCCTAGGCTGCCATGGTTTGTTGTGTCTTCCTTAATATGGTGCCCCAAACTGAACACAGATTTCTAACATATGGTCTCACTAAGAAAGAGTTGAGTTGAGACTATTACATCCTGTATTCTGAACACTAATTTTTTTTGTGCCTTTTTTTAATGTACCTTAATTTTATGTTAGTGTTTCTTTTAAACTGTCATGTCTCATTGTTGACTCCTATTTATGTTGTATTCCATTAAAATCTCAACCCCTAGATCCTTTTCATGGTCTTTCTTTCCCCATACTGCACCTATATAGCTGAATTTTAATGAATTCCAGGAATTGAAGTCAAGCTCACAGATATATGGTCTGAATGAAGACCCTATTGTCTTCTCTTTTTTTGAAAATGAGGACATTTCTCTATTTCTACTTCAGTTGTACTGCTAACATTTACCATCATTTTTCAAAGATTAATGATAGATCAGAATCATATCCATCAATCCTTTTCATCTCCTTAGGTATTTCATCTTGGCCTAGTAACCTGTCCTCTTTAAGGGCACATGGCTGCTCTTTTACAATCTCCTTATTTATTGCACATTTCAGGTGTCTCCTAATAATTTTTGTTCTATCCATCCTACTCCAGAAGATCATTTTCCTTGACATAGGAAACAAAAGTAAAATTAATAGTTTGAGTTCTTGCTGTTTTCTAAGTGGCATTCATCATTATTGTATCCACCTGTATCAGCAGTTGTATCTTCTAATCCTCTTCTCATACCCATCAAAAATTAAAGAGCTATTTTTCATGTGCTTATCATCCATTGCCAACTTGAATTCATTTTGAGCTTTAGCCTTTCTGATACTCACTATTTGATAAGATTTCATCACTCATTTGTATTCTCCTTTAGCTATCTGCTCTTATCTTTTACACATCTTTTAAAATTATCATTTGGTCAATGATGGCTATAGATTCACTCTGATATCTTTATATAGCTTCTACTTTTCTTCATCTTTGAAAATGTTTATGCTTGTGTTATTAGAATTTCATTCTTGAGAGCTTCCATTCCTCTTGAGCCAAATTCCCCATAGACTTTTAGGCCTTAGGATCCTCATAATTATTTGTAGACATGCTTTAAAATATATTCCTATGGATTCAATTATGATCTCTATACAGATACCTCCCAGATCTCTCTATATATCTGGTCTCTCTCTTGAGTGCTAATTTGCATCATTAATTAATTATTGGAGATTTCTTTTTTCTTTTTAATAGATTTTTATTGATCTTTTTTGTTTTTACATCACCTGGATTTTCCCCTTTATCCTTCCCCTTCCGTCTCCCAGAGAGCTCTCCCTTATAACAAGAAATTTTTTATAAAGGAAGAGAAGAAAAAAATATAGCAAAAACTAATCAGTCTGTTGAAAAAAGTGATATAATATGCAATGATGTAGGCTCATTGGAGGTTTCAAACTGAATATCCTGTATCTCAAACTTAACGTATCCAAAACAAAACTCATTATCTTTTTCCACAACCCACCCCTCTTATGAATTCCTTGGTTTCATCATTCTTTTAGTCTCTCAGGTTTGCAGTCATGGAGTCATTCTCAACACTACACTCTCTCATTGACTTCTTCTATCTTCCTCCCATTGAATCCAATCAATTGTTAACCTTTAGTGATTCTACCTCCATAGCTTTGCTTACATCTATCTTCTTCTCTCCACTATTACATGATCACTAACTCAGATTATTATTTCAGCATCTCGCAACTGGACTATTGAACTAGCCACTTAATTGATATCGCTGCCTTAACTCCTCTTCCCAATTCATCCTTCATACAACTACCAAATTGATACTCCTGTATCAAATATTTAAACATGTCACTCCCCTGCTTAAAAAGATCAAAGTATTTTCCTATTTTAGAATAGAAATGGAAACTACTGTTTTTGAGCCCTTCATAATCTGTTTCCATTCTACCTATGTAAACTTATTGCAAATTACTCCTCTTTTTTTTCATTGCTAATAGTTTTATTTCTAACAAGAGGAAAATAATAAAATAAAATTTAAAAAGGTAACTGCAGGAATGACCTGTTCCCTGTTGATTTGCTTGGTTTTGTGGGAAAGGGGCAGTTCCTTTGTTTCTTCCTCCCAACAAATGGATGAGGTGGTGGCCAGAGTTGCCATCCCTTGTCCACTTACAACAAAATCCCAGGGCATGGGGGAGAGGAAGTGGCGGGGGGTGTGTGTGTCAAAGGATAGGCTGCCGAGGTCTGTGGGAGCAGCACCAAAGAAGCTTTCCTCAAACCTCTCAAGTTTAATTAAGAAAAAAAAATAATTAAAAAGCAAACTTGGAGTTTGCTCACCAAGGGCTGGTTCCCTTCCAAATTACTCCTCTTAATGCATTCTAGGTTGAAGCCAAACTGGTCTACTTATTATACCTCTGACATTCTTTGTCTTATCTCTTTAACTTTGTATAGGCTCTTCCTAATACCTAAATTGAGCTCTGTCATACAAATAACATTTATTTTACATGGGGTGGGATGGCTTCCATTTAAGGAGGCAAGGAGCCCATTCTAGTCTTTAGTTGGTATGGAGTACTAGGGATATAAAATGCCGAGCTTATGAGGAATTAGTGTTCATGAGTTTTGGCAGAGTTCTCATTGACTTGCAGTATGTCTTTTTGACTCTATCTTGTTGCCTTGATGAATGGGAAGACATCAAATGGGAAATGTTTGTTTTTTAGTAATTATATATTTTGAATCCTTTGTTATAGGCAAAGCCATTTTTATTGTATTTTATGTTTGATGAGTG